ATTGAATTAACTATTTACAATACTAAAAAATCATATCTAAAAATATAATAGTAAAAAAAATACATATATAACAGCTTTCAAGTGTCAAAACATGAAGAAACTGGTATAAATGCCATAGCAGAGGCACTGACTTTATCAAAGGATTAGTGGGTAGGGTTTCAACCCAGAATGACTGCTTCCCATGTTGAAACTCCCTTGCATATAGTATGGCCTGTCCCCTGGCCCACTTCCCAGGTTTAGGCTCCAACTCTCTCATCCTTCGTCTTATCCACATTCTTTCGCCCTAGCGCCCTTTCACAACGTGTGAGCCTTTGCCAAAACTCCCACTCCCTCACCAATATTTTTTTTAATAGAGCAATGTAAGGATAAATAAAATCCCTCCTCTTCCATCTGGAATACCCTTAGTTATCCTTCTGCAACCAACTTCGTCCTCACTGATCTTTCCCTGATCACAGCCTTGGGAAGTGAACTCTACCAAATCCAGGCTCATTCAGCCTTGGACTAGAAGCTCCTGCAGGATAGTAATTGTGCATGCACTGAACAGGTGATGAAGAGACAAATAAATACATTAATCAATCAAAAAGAGATTAAGCTTTTCTTTTTGGGAGATACTGAAAAACAGAACAGATCTTTATTAATCAGGAGAGACCGTTGCCAAGGACAAGAAAATGGGATAGTCAGAAAAATTATCTTTGAGTATCTGATCCAATGACCAATACATAGCAAATTAACAAATGTCATTATTTCTTTAATAATACCTACATATATAATACCTATATATTGTCATATAACATGAGCCCTATTTATAGGTGAAAGTATTAAATATTATAGCCACTATTTGATTTTAATAAAGGAATTTAATGGGAAACTAATATATCAAATGCCAAAAATAATAATATTGAATCAACAACTATTTACTACCTACTATTTGCCAGTTACAATCCTAAAGAGCTGTAGATGAAGCAATGAGCAAAACAAAATACTTGTCCTTATGAAATTTACTTTCTAGTTGAAATAAATGGATAATAAATGTACACACGTGTCTGGTGGAACTGCTATGAGGAACAAGAAAACAGGATAAAGGACATAAGAGATGCTAGCAGTAAGAAAGTACCGTGTGTGTGTGTGTGTGTGTGTGTACCCAAAAAATACAGAATTATCTTCTTTTGGAGGGCAGGCCCCTTGTAGTACACTCAGGTCAAACGATCAACCAAAGTTTTATTTGGAAGTTTTGAGAAGGTTGCATCATGATTTGCAGAAGAAACGTCCCAAGTTGTGGCAAACAGGTGACTGGTTCTTCCACGCTGACAATGCACCTGCTCACACCACGCTGAGTGTTCAGCAGTTTTTGACCAAAAACGGCATGACCCCGTGCCCCACCCTTCCAATTCTCGCCCCAAGAGGCTTTTTGTTTCCCCAGATGAAAAAAGTCTTCAAAGGAAAATGTTTTGCTGATGTGGAAGAGCTGAAACCAAAGACAGCAGAAGCACTAAAAGGCATCAAAATTGATGAGTGCAAAAACTGTTTTGAGCAGTGGAAAAAGTCTATCAATAGTTGTGCATCAGACAGAAGGTGACTGAAGTTTAAACATATAATAATGAATGTACAATTTTTATTTTAAAATTCCAGGGTTTTGGGGGTCCTCTCTTGTGTATATATTCAGGATGGCTCCGCTGATCGGGGACATTTGTGTAAAGAGTTGAAAGGTGTGATAGGATAAGTCTCATAGTACCTGGTGAAGGGCATCCCAATCACAGTCTGTAAAGGGGCAGGTTTGAACCACAGAGACCAATTGGGAGCTGCTAGAAGCAATTTAGAAGAGATGATAGTAGCTTTGACCAGGGTTGGGTGGCAGAGATAGTTAAAACTGGTTGGATTCTGAAGACACTTTGAAGGAAGAGCTGAGAAGTTTTGCTGGCAGATTAGAGGTCAAATGAGAGAAAGACGGGCATCAAGGATGACCTCAAGATTTCTGATCAAGCAGCTGGAAGGATGCTACAAGGGAAGGGTACTTCTTAGAGGTAAGGGGTAAATCAGGAGTTTGGGGCATGTTAAACTTGAGATGCCTATTAGATATCCGAGGAGATGGGGTAGTAAGAAGAAAAGACAAGTCTGGAGTGAACTGGGGCATCATCAGCATATAAATGGCATCTAAAGTCAGGAGACTGAATGAGATTACCTGGGAAGTGAGCATAGACAGGAAAGAGATCACTGACCACAGCACTCAGGGCCTACTGAGAGGCTGAGGAGATGAAGAGGAGCCAGCAAAGAAGAGTGAAAAAGAAGAGCTAGTAAGTTTTGGGCTAGTGTTAGGCTAGAAAACAGTATACCTCCCAAACACACAGCACAGCGTAGGCTTCTGGGGGCTTTCCCTCTGTAAACATGTGCATTTGAAGAACTGCTAAGCAAGATCATATCTCTAATTATCAACAATTGAATGGAATGAAAGTTATTTTTAAAGGGTGAGATCCAACCTTTATACAGTAATCAAGAAACTACAAATAAAGACAACAAACTATCATCCATCAAATTGGCCAAGCATTTAAATTCTGATATTATTATAGTTAGGGAGATGACAAAATGGAAAGTCTCTTCTGGAGAACAATGTAAAATTATAAAGTAAAAATAATTTTCTAGGTATCTACATACAAAGTGGTGCTGTTTGTCAAATTTAAAATACAAACATAAGCAAAACCACATACTAAACATGTATGTTAGATGGATTAAAAGGAAAACCCCTTATGCAATTAGTGTCTGCTACCGAGAAGGAGAGGGGGGTGGGCTAAGAACGTGGGTGGGGGAAACTGCTCCTCAGATGTAATGCTTTACTGAGCTTGTTTTTCAAAAAATACAGAGCATTTATGAAAAAAACTTGAAGCAAATATGAGAAAATATTTATAACCATCAACTCTTCTGTGAACATGAGTACATCTGATAAAATTTTTTATACCTTTTAGTACTTAAAATTTTTCCCAGTTTTTTTTAAAGCACAGAAGAGAGTTATATAAAAAAAGACCATTTGCTTAAAACAACTGTTTATTTATACCTACAACGCAAACCTATAAAAAAGCAAAAGGACAGGAATCAATCGTGTTGACACAGTAATAAAATATTTTAGATCTCTAGCACAGTCTGATATAGCACTTGGTAAAACTCTACCTATATGCTATATTTTACCATTTGATAAACACCATGAAGAAACTTTGAGCACATTACCCATAATATAGTAATTTTAAAAAGTAAACTGAAAGAAAAAGGTAAAACTACATTGCTTTACCAGAATATCTAATCCAAAGAGGAAATTAGTCTACCAACTGAGTAATAATCTAAGATCAGCTTCAAATGCTTTTGGAATGAAATGAAAAATACAAAATTGAATGAATAGATATGCAAGTTAATCAGTCAGTGAAAACAATTCATAATAATTAATAGAAATGACAATTAATTCTCCCATATAGATTTAGGATATAAGAAGTGCTTCCTTTAACAATTTAGAAAACTCTACACGTTAGTGAATTTCTATAAGACTCATCTTCTTGAAGAAGTAAAACATGAGTATAAACATAATGCTCTTTATATTTATACATTTGTATTTACACATCAGTGTTTCATATTGTAACCTTTACCTTGTGCCTTTTCTAGTCAGTGAGTAATAGGTATAATTGCTGAAACTCTTACATATTTTTCCTAGCTTGTTACATCTCAATTGCTCTGTGCCACTTAAGATGTAAGTCATTTCTTTAGCATTCTCATACATAAATTCAGGCTAATTCATTTAGCGTGCTACTAATTGTCATTGAAATGAAATACTTTTGCTTTTTTTACTCATATTTTCAATGATGTCTTCATCATTTTCTCTTTGGAAAGTTTCTATAGATCAAACTAATGCATGTTAAGGAAAATACAGCAAGCAGGTAAATGTTTAATTCAGGGAATTTTTAAAAAGCAGTGGTATGCCTTTTTAAAAAAAAACTCTCTTTAGTTGATAAATTCTAAGGTTAAAAAAATGTTCTACAAAAGAATACTTCTATTCTCTGATTAGTTAGAACAGATAGATGAACAGGTTTGTTTTCCCTCAAAATTGGTCAGAGATAAATACTTGTTTGTTGAATAAATGTTTTGTTATTTTGTTTTAAACCAGTTAACTTTTTCAAAATAATACATGTTTTGGAAAAGCAAATGACTGTTTTATTCCCCAAATATTTATGGAGCAGCTAGCTACTAAGCACAAGGCATTGCGCTAAGTGCTGTGGTGAAGCAAACGTAAGGCTGTCAATGATTCTGCTCAGGATGTGCTGAATCATCTCAGCAGGGAGCTAAGGCAAGCATGTAAATAATTGCAAAATAAGACACAGAGGAACTAAATGCTTTCAGAGAGGAAGCTCTAAAATACTACAGGAGTTCAGAGAAGGGAAAAATTGTTTCCTGTAAGTCGTATACAAAGGGAAAATCAGAGAAGGCTTCATGGTGGCAATGGATTTGAGCTAGCTCTGGAAGGAAAGTGAGATTTCCAGTAGGGCAGACTGGGAGCCACGCCTGCGTAAGGATGAGGGCCTAGTTTTAAGAGTAGTGGGGAAGTGTAAAGGTAAAGAACAGATCAATGTCAAGGAAGTTGGAGATTCAGGCATGAGGGTAGGTAAAAGAGAGAATGAGAAGGGCAGAGGCATAGATAGGCAGCAGATTAAAAAGGATTTTGATCAAGGTCAAGTGGTCACACTATTTTGTAGATAAATGGGAACTGATGAAAATCTTTGAGCAGAGAAGTAATATAATCAGACACATGCGTCAGAAAGATTGATTTAACATCAGTGGGATAGATGGATAGGAAGGAGGACAATCTAGAGATGGGAAAACTGATTAGGAGTCTTCCACATTGTACTAATAAGAGGTAACGAAAACAGGAATTAGGCAGTATCAGTGGGAATGGAAAGAAGAGTATGGATGCAAAAAAAATTGTACATTGTAAACAGCATTTATGAAAATATGGTATAAAGCCTTACCTGATTCTTCTGTATCCTGTTCATCTATTAAACCTACTGAGACGCCTAAATCCACACATTTCTTGCTATGTGCCTTGGACTTCATGTGTTTTGTCAGATTTCCTTAAGGGAAAAGAATGTTTACTAAGCTTAAGTAGTATTATTTTACTATTGCATTTGTCAACACTGGCAAATTTCATTCCTATTTCAAGCAAAAGTACAGACTATGGTCATATAAATCCAATTACTAAAATTTGGACAAAAGAAAAAATTGTTATCTATATGCTATAATAGCCTTTTTATTTACTAGTTAATAATTTCTTTCTCAAATCTGCTTCTTTTACTTTGATAATGTCTACTTTTGCCTTATAGCTTCTATTCTGTAGTTCTTATTTATTTCTTAGAAAAATCCATATATACTTAAAGTTCCTTTCAGACTGCACTGTGACCTGAAGTATGAATTCTCCACCAGTTACTACTGCTGTATCTATCTTATAGTAGTTTGTTTCCTCAAGTGCTTTATAGAGGGTTTTCCATGGGGTTCTAAGTACCCTGGATTGTAGAAACTTATATATCAAGGAGTAGCTCAGTCTTCTGAGGACACCAAGCTTCACAAAAACACTGCAAATCACCTTTTTTAAGAAAGCAAAAACAACTCTAAATACTGAGTTTGGTAGGCAGGAGCAAAGGAGTATTTGAGAATAAGCCTTAGAAGACCTCAAGATGTCTAAATCATTGGTCCAAATTTTGGGCTTGCAGCAGTTGAAGCACATGCAAAATTGTTATATTTGTTCAATTCCTTGATAAATGCACTAAGCTTATGAAACTGACCTCACCTGTACAAACCAATTCTCACACTACACAGTACATACTTGTCTGAGCCAAATACACAGCACCCCAGCACTTAGTGCTTAAAAAATTCAAGGTTAAGTGGCTGCCTAGACCAGGTGATGTCTAAAATCCATCAAACCCTGACTTCTTTGACTTTGGAGATAACATTTGGATTTTATCTAGTATTTATGTTACATATACTGAAAAAATAAAAGATGAAACAAATGTGGCAAAATGTTAACAATTATCAAAGGATTATGGCACACTGGTGTTCATTATATAAATTTCAACTAAAGTTTTCACATTAAAAAGTTATAAAAATTATTTAGTCATCATAATGTGGCCAAAGTTTTCACTTGTAAGTCAAAATGTTTTCAGTATAATACCAATATTACAAACCAAATGATAAAATCCACTAATAGTGCCCTTTCAAAATGCTTTTGTCCCCTAGATAGACAGCCATGGCAGGCTATTTACTTTTTAAGAAGTTAATGTATAATTGTAAGTAGATGAATTTGGAAATACAAGTTTTTAGTAAGCCTATTTTCTCATAACTTTACCTATTTACTTACTATTAACCAACTTCCTAAATAACACTGAATAAACAAAAATTTGCATTTTAAATTTGCAAAGTATATATATTGAAATGCAAATATCCTCTAGCAATTTTATAAGCCTTATGTATTAATTTAATAAATTTTCCTATAGATTTAAGAAACAATTATCTACATCCTCTGGGAAGCATAAAAAGGTTTTGTTTCTGGATTTCTATAGCTACTTATTGTCTAGCATTTTGTGATATAAATGGAACTAAGTCTTGTAGAGATGCAAGCTCACTGTATTTTCTGCTGATTTACCTTTAAAGCAAAGTCATGAAAACAAATCAATTAAGATTATTTTGAAAGTGTACTCAGAAAACAAACTCAGAGGACAAATAATGAATTATAGATTCATAAGCATTCCCATCAGAAGCATCAATTTCTAGCTCTACAGATCATTCTTTTGATAATATTTTGCTGTCTTAGCACACATATTCATATAACACACTCTCATATCCCTATTTCCTACTGTTACTAACCAGACACATTCATTAAGAAGTAGATTTGTATTGGCCAGGGTACCAAAGTAAATCAGAATAGGGTAACATCTATAGTCTAGTGGGAAAACAAGTCTCCTATTATTTAGCTGCCTGTAAAAGGTACTGTGAAATCTATTTTACATAGATTCACAAAGAGTAGACTTATGAAAGGAAGTTGATCATAAGGAATGAGAACTGTCATGCCTAGAATAGAGAAACATTAAATTTCTAATATTTTCATCACCAGTCTTCTTAGCTAGGGTAGCCTCCTCCAAATAATATTTATCATATAGTTCACATGACATCTGACAAAATGAAAAATTTAATACAAATTCAGATATGTAGCATAATCGAGAATTTTAAGACATGAAAACTGCTAATAGACAATGTGTATTCTTCAGGGCTTGTTATGCATTGTCCATCATGTAACGAACATTTATCTAAAATCTTGCATGCTGTTTTGAGTTATTTTACTAAGATTAATACTTACTGACTTATAATATTTTCAGACAAGAAATCTCTGAAGTTTAATTTGGTTTTTCACATCTAGGTTGTCCTTCCTTTCTTGTCCTTATTTTGTGAATACAATTAAAAAACTACCCTGATTCCATTCTTCCTTCTATTGAGAAATATTCATTTCACATTATACCTTGATTTTGTATTTGGTAACATCATTCTATATATGGTAATCTTTTATTAGTAATATTTGTCTTTTAAATGTGCTCCTGGTCTCATATTGGAAATTAATTGATGTTTCTTAATCACAGGATCAAAACCAGTGAAAAGGCAATAAATTCAGTTAAAAGACCAAAGCACTTGGCCCTATCAGAGTTCTCATTCAAGACCCAAAAAGTCATTGTGAAACTCACCTTCTGTCTACAGAAGAGTCTACATCAGACCAAAGAACCACAGAATGAGTATCCCTTCCAGACCCTCTGATATCTTGTAACTTTGTGAAAATACTTAAAGCTATCTGAACATTTTGTTTTTCCATTATTCTTGTTTTAAACACTATTGGCATTTAAAGAGATCTAATTTGAAGCTATTTAGTTGTTACATGTTATAACTCTTTTTAAATGCCAAAAAATACTAGCCAAAAAAATAAAAAATTTTGCTAAGTTGATCAATCTTTAAAAGAAAAATTGTGAAGACAACCAATATAATCATAAAGAGCAAATGTTATCTAAAAAAGGATAAAAATAGCAACTATTAAAAATTGATTATTTTTTAAAACAGATACTATTCTTTCAGAAGGATATTTTCATGACTACCTTGCTTTGTTAAACAGAGATTGTTACTTTTTAAAGGGAGATATATGAAATTAAAATCTCAAGTAACAAATTGTTATATGATGATTCATGAACAGCAAGCCGAAATGGAGAAAGGAAACATTTTATAGAAGTGTATCCTATCCATCATATGTAACAGGAAATTTGTTTAGGGTAATATTACTTTAACAACAATAAAGGCATATAATTTAAATAAAAACATGTAAGAAAAACAGAAATATAACTTTAATGAATAGTTCTGAGATTTCTATATAAACATTAAATAGTAGAAATTTTAGACAATTTTTGAAACTAAAAATTAACAGTATTTGAGGACCAATGCATCATGAAAAAAATGACTATGTATACCTAATATCAGATAATAAAACATGAGGGCAATTATTATATAAGTTTACTATGGCTATTATTTTAAATCTTTCTTCTATTTAAAATTTTTTTAGTACCGAAATAAATACATTTATAATCATGAAAATTTCTTTTTGCTTTTTATTCCCAAAGTAAATATTTTTGAAAATGTATACTGTCATCATGCTATGCAACTGTAATTTAGAGAATAAAATTATAAAAGAGCAGTTGCTCCTTTTAAAATGTTGTATTTATATTCTCTCTCTCTCTATATATATATATATATATATTGTGTGTGTGTGTGTGTGTGTGTGTGTAGTTAAAAACTTTTCCCAAAGAGCCTGGAAACACATAAAGAAATAAGACTATAATGCTGACAAGATGTAATTTATTTTAATCTGTTTTAACTACTATCTCTTTGGTCAAAGAATATGCAGAGGTGAGTTTTACCTCTACTACCTCAATGCATATAAAAAGGACCTTGAAGCAATGTACAGCTCATACCTTTAGTCTTAAAGGAGAAGTTACAGTAAGTGCAGTGGTAGGGGCGGACATCTGTATGGGTTCGTATATGTTTCTTTAACATGCTAGGTTTCTTACAACGTATTCCACATTCTTCACAAATGTACTTTCCTCTTCCCCTGCCTCGGACATATACATACTCTTCATTTGATTTATATCTAATTTAAAGGAAAAAAAAACGAATAGGGAGATTGGACACTAAGTCTTCGAGAAAATATTAACAAGTAAAATTCAGCCTAAAAATAAAGCAAGGAAAACTTTTATAATCAGTCAACAAAAATTATATGTACATGAAAGTAACAAAATATTTCAGCTTTTTATATCAACACTTAATATTCTAATATCGAATTCTAATCAAACTTATTCAATATTATGTTTAATTTTTAAAATATTTCCTGTTTCTAAGTAACTGGTTAAGAATTGTCTTATTGCTAAATTCAATGACAACAATTTTGAGTACTGAAATATTGCTGAGCTTCACTGTAACTAACATTGGTTTTTGTAATTTTTTTCCCCATAACAAAATACACAAAGACATTAAATAGACAATGGATTCATCTCTCTAAGAGCAAATTTTCCAAATCTTTCCTTATAGCAAATCAATGTGAAACCTAGGGTTCACTCATTTAATTCTTAGCTGCCTTCTAGTTCCTAAAATGTGTCCTAGTCATCATTTTATTTATCAAAATGAAATTATTTAACATAATGCTAATATATTTTGCCTTGAAGATTCTGTTAATAAGCTGAGAAACCTTGCAACATTGATTATAAAATGGGTACTAAGTCTTCATTCACATAAAGCAAATGTACATTTAAAAAGTAAGTTTAAATGTACATTTAAGAAGTAAAATTTGTACTTGCCCTCCATCAAATATTTTAATTCTTCTTGGTTCACTTTTGATTAAGGAATTTTCTTTATCTTGCTCACTGTTAATTTCAGAGGCATCTTTATTGCTGATTTCAACTACTGTGGACTTTTGATTACCTAATGCTCTCTGAAAGGAAAAAAAAGAGAAACTAATTTAATAAAACTGAAAACACAAGCATGCTAATGTTTCACTGGAAATTAAAACATGGCAGAGTACAGAGCTTATAATAAACTTAATGAAATGCATTTCAAATAGGTTACAGTTTCAAAGCCTATTTGCTTTATCTCCTCTTTTATCATTTATCTATCCAAACCAAAGCAAACTGATTAATCTTGTGCTACTCTGAAATCCCACCACAGTCCACTAACACCACAATATAAAGCCTTTACAAACTCCCACTCTGGTATTTCGTAAGTTTAACAGAAACTTTTAAAAATAGACTATTCTTTCTTCTATTTAATCAACCACTCATACTACAGTTTAAATATATTCCTTTAAAGAATTTATTCTTGAGTTGGAAAAAAACTAGTTATCTCTTTAGTAAAATAGTGTCTCATGTTCCTAAAGAACACCACCAAATCTCCTTCATTTAAAGTGTACTACAAAGGTGAAGCAAAAGTCCCATTTCCAAAATCTTAATTTTCCTTTCTCCCCTCATTTTAAACCATAATTCCTGATATCTTTTCACAAGTTTCCTGAATACTGATAACAGTGAGATACAAGCTGGGTCAAAAGTCAGGTTTTGGCCTGATAACAATTAAATCACTGGAAAAATGAACATAAAAATGATAAGAGGAATATAATAATACCACCTTATGGCTTCATACAAAATGTTAGGCAACCACACCATTAAGAGAATGCTTTTATACTCACTGCACCATTCCATTCTCATGTCTTTGTGAGGCAGGGAGCACAGGTGGAATATATCGCCCAATGAGTAAGGATACTCTTGGGAGTAAGGTTACTTGTCCAAAGTGAAGTACTAACAGCAAAGGCTCAAATTCTAGTCCTTTGGCTGAGTCCAACACTGGGCACAACCTTTTCTATCACGGGCTTCTTTTCTACAAAGCTCCTTTAAAAAATTACATCACCAAGTAGACAACTATTGCACTGAGGTCACTTAATGATAGTAAGTGATGACAAAGTGTGCACATTATGGGTAGGGGGTTTCTGTGTGGCTAGGAAAGTACCTTGAGAGGCCTTGTTCTTACAAAGGCAGACATCAAAAAAAATGCTGCTGGCCTACATTCCCCAAAAGGTGTGTGAAGAGGTATGACTTATCTACCACCGAGGTAAAACTGTAGCCTTCTCTTTTCCTGGTAAACAGATCAGGTTTCCCCATAATTTGGAATATATGCACATATCTTTCCTCATCCCTTTAACAGCAATCCTCTCTTTTACCTTCTATTAAATATTAAATTCTCCTCTATTACTTACTTATTTATTTAAAAGTCAGGGTCTCATTCTGTCGCCCAGGAGTACAGTGGCACAATCATGGCTCACCACAGCCTCGACCTCCTGGGCTCAGGGGATCCTTCTGCCTCAGCCTCCCAAGCAGCTAGGACTACAGGTACACACCATCACACCCAGATAATTTTTGGGTTTTTTTTATGAGAGACGAGATCTTGCTATATTGCCCGGGCTGGTATCATACTCCTGGCCTCAAATGATCCTTCTGTCTCAGCCTCCCAAAGTGCTGAATCACAAGTGTTAGTCGCTGCAAACACACCAAACTCCCCCTTATCTTTTGAGGACTTTCTTCCTATCAAATCCTGCTTCTGATTTTTTTGTCTGAAATATCCTTTTTTTTTTTTTAAGACTCAAGTATCATTACCTTTGGAGTACCTTACCTGAATTAATATCTCCTCCCCTTATTGGCAATGTTAGAGACTTCTCTCTTTCAGAATTATTTTATAATACTGATATTGCAATATTTTCATATTGCTAGGTATGTAAATGTTTACAAACCTGTATTATATGTTTGTGAATCTGTAGAGGCTAAAGATTGGATCTATAATTCTGATTATCCAAAGTCCAATGTGATACCCTTAAATATTTATTCTAATTACTTAAATAATTTTTCCCATTTTATAAACCCAACAATTCTAATGATATTGATTCCACAAATTACCCCAAATTATAGCTTTATGACCTTAAATTACTCTATAATTATTCACCAAATCAAATTAGCAAGTGTGTGAGTTAATTATTTTGTGAAATTTCTCTATAATACTAATGATTCTCAGAGGTACACTGGAAAATAATTGGGACAAGAATGGTAGGGGAGAGTAGTTAGTATACACAAGACAGGTCTGAATGGGTCTTTGCTTATATTTCAAAATGAAACATATCTATCTTTGATTATCCACACCTGCTTCCCTACATTAGCAGGGACAAAGCATAACCATAATTTCCTCAATAAGAAAAACAAAACCTTAATATAAGAGAAAGATCAAAGTAAAACCATGATTATCTGTAACATTAGGCAAAAACTTACACAGTCAACTGAGAGAAAAAAAAAAAGTACTCAGGGTAAGTTATCATGTCCGAAATATCTCAAGATAGAATCACTGAAAGACTCCAAGTAACCCTTATCAGTGTCATTCCCAGGGTAAATACATTACCCTGTCTTTTAAATAAGATACTTAAAGCATTTGTCATTCAAGATTAAAATACTTTCAATCAAAATATTTAAAGGCATCAAGACACATTAAAAGTATTTGCAAAACCATACTTGAAGATAAATTATGTTTCAAGTACCTTGCTTGAGTTGCTTTTCCACTTGCTTGAATAAACCAATAAATCTGATTTGGAATGGGTAGTTATTGCTTGACAATATAGTGATTTTTCAGCGTTCTGTTTTGAATTAAGGAGAGAAAGAGCAACTTTTGTGGGTAAACCAAGTGGATTTGGATTACTGGAGCTTACTGTCCAATCAGTATAAGCTGACGTTTTCTGGTCCCTCTGAGGCAAATGCAGTGACTTCTGTCTTAATAGATAACACCATGTAAAGTTGGTGGTAGTCTTCAGGCTGGGGAAAGCCAGCTGCTGGGTGTCTCCAACATTAAACAATGAAAGAGTAGTGATTGGTTGTTGACTTTGTTCTTGGATGTTCACTTTGTCACCATGAGTTTTAGCTGCTGGAGATTTCCTTTCTTGGTTACTGTCTATACACTTCAAAGGAGAAATCTGAGTATTTTCTGAAGGGACGGCTGAATTTTGAACTGTAAGAGTTAATGAGGTGGGTGACTTGATGTTTTCATACTCTTGCAACTCATTTATAGGTTCAATAACTACTAGCTTTGAGTGTCCTGATGATGAATTATCAGTTGGTAAAACATTTCTCAAATTAACAGCCTCACTATTAACTTCAGGTTGAGAAAAAACATCCTGTTCCAATATCACACCTTCAAGGGGCTCTGTAGTACAAACCTGCCTCACTAAAACAGGTTTCTTCTGTTTGTTAGTTTCATTAGCTCTTGAACTCAGTGGCTCTAAAGGTCTAACATCTGTTGCACAAACAGCTCCACTTTCATCTTTGGCCCGCTTCTGGTGCTTCTCCATGGCAATGTCTAAACTATTTGCTGGGGAAAGCATCCTTTTACTCGAAGCTGAAGATTCTTGTTGGGGAGAAAGTCTACCAATAGACATTTTCTGGTTTATAGGCACGGATTCTGGTAGAGTAGAATTCTGGCCCAACTCTGAAATGACTAGTTCTTTCTCTGGGTTTGGCAAAGCATTCTGGTGATCTTTTTGTAGTTTTGGCACAGAATTTTGTTCTTCATTGATTGGCACTTTATTATGATGAGCCTGGCAAATTGGCTGATTGGATAGGTCTTGGGTAACTAGGATTTGTGGCAGGGATGTGAGTGTGGCAAAGCAATAGGTGGAGACATCACTTTGCAGTTGTATGGGAAGCATAAATGACGATGGCACCTTCTGCCCCTGACTGCTGAGGGGCCTGAGCTCCAGCGGTGGCAGAGGACATGAATTAGACATCGTATCTATCAATTTGGTTGGTAAGGGTGCTGACGTCGCACAAAGATCTGCTCCAACTGAATCTGAAAGAACTTGATTTGGCAAAGAATGTACAGGATTTGAAGAGCAAGACTGGCCTGAAGTGAAAACCTGACAATGCAATTGGTACTTAGGAGCAAAGCAATCCTCATTTTTAGAAGACGCACATAAAACAGAACTTGTATCTGGTTTGTCACCCTGTGTAGACACTTGCAGAGACAGCTGTGTGTTCGGATGGCTAAGGGGTGAGTGAATTTGATGCAACAAATTGATACCACCAAACTGTTGAACAGGGAAGATGTTAGTAGAGACAGAGTTTGACATTTCTGCCCGCGGGTCCTTAGCTTGAGTTTGGGAGTGCAGAGTATTTGCAGGACATTCAGCTAAAGGTGCATTAGTGAGCTGAGTCCCCTGAAATGGCACTGCGTTCACGCTAGGAAGAGCAATATTCTGGAAAGATGTTGGGTTTACAGGAGACGGATGATTATCTGGAGCTATGTTTAAAGATATCTGCCGTACTAGGGGGCCTCTCCTTCTTTCTAAGAGAGGTACATGCCCGGTGACTCCCACGCAAGAAGGGGAAGTAGGAGGCTGCAATTCCACAAGTGGTGTCATCTGGGGTGGTGTCATGCTACCACAGTCGAATGACTTACTTCTGAAATCAGAGACTTCCATTGACGTTTGCGTGCAATTAATCTGTTCTGATGCAGCACGCCTCATTTCCCGGTGACTTCCAGGAACATTCAGTGTATTTGAGCCAGCTGGAATCACAAGAAACTCGGCTTTATTTAGAAAATCGATTTTGGGGGAAGCCTCCGTTTTAGAAATGTCCTCTATGTCTAATGAGGCTGAGAAACTTGAAGTGTGTGACAAACTGCTTTCTCTACTTAGACTCCTGGAGAGAGTGGAATCAAAGCTTGATTCTGTCGAGGAATGCTCTATCTCAGCCAGGCGGAGCCTTTTCTTTTTGGGTGGCAGTTTCTCTGTTGGCAATTTTGACAAAGTTTCACTACGCTGAGGCCAACTGAACTTTTCTGATTTTTCTGGCTCATGGCCCTGGGCTTCCAGATCCCTATCTGGTTCTTCTGTGACCAAAATTTCTGGGACTTGGATATTGTGCTGCCGGACAAGTCTTGACGGCTGTCCTAGTATATGCCGTTCACTTGAAATTTTTCTTGAGTTTTCCTGAAGTTCTCCTCTAAGAGCATCTGACAGTACAAGCTGGTGAGGATGAGACACATCTCGAGAATGGTGACCTTCCTCTTGGGAGAATCCCATTACTTTCAGAGTCCCGGGTTTCCCTATTCTACTCAGCTCCTGGAACGAAACCAGGGGGCCTCTTTCAAAAGGCTCAGCCTTGTCAAAGGAACTGGGTCTGCTCAGTGAGTTGGTATGTTGAATGACGGAAATTCCAGTCCCGTGTCTCTTGAGCTCTGTCTTGTCCTGGGAAGTTGCGCTGATCTGCTGGTCTACGATGGTAGACTGTTTTGGATCCATGGTCTGGTCAGGGCCTCTGGCAACAAGCTGAATCTGGGAGTTCTGCAATTGTAAACTTCTATGTTGCTGGTCATTTGTTAGGGCAACATTATGTTTAGATACGCTGGGAGGAGAGCCAAGAGTATTCTGGAACTGAAGGCCTTCAGAGCTTTTGGAGGAAGTTCCACTTTCACTTTGCTGAAGTTCGTCATCATCTCCAACACTTTTCATCTTCCTCCTTTTTCTTATCTGTGGCGTCTGCTCCCAGACTCCTGTGGACCCGGCGACTCTGTAATGCAGAATCTGAGGTTGTGTACCACTGGGCATGGAGCTATGTTCAGGTTCTCTCATAGCTACCTTTGTTTTTGGTCCATGTAACTCTGAACAGTAAAATTTCTTATGGTTTTCGAAATTTTCTAGTTTCCTGTACCTGTTTCTACATGTTTCACACTCAAACATTGTTCCTCGCCCTTGATGAGACTTCTTTTTTTCTAAATGTGGGCCTTGTGCCAATGCCTTGCTCCTTGTTGATACAGCATCACCAGCAACATGACATCCTTGGTAGCTTTCATCCAAGGACTGTCCAATACCGAGAACATGACTTTCATTTGCTGAAGCGTCTTCTATTGCTGCTTGTCTGACAAGTGTACGGGGATGTCCACTTTGGGGTATAGGAGTGTTAGGTCCTGATACAAAGACATCATCATAGAAAGCGCCAATTTTGTCATCAAATGACTGACTTCCTCTCAGCGGATGAGGAGGAGGTATTATATTTGTAGGTACCGCTGAATAACCTGTGGTTGGCATGGAATTACTTCTTGTAATAGGTAAACAGTCAAGGGAAGGTACGGACAGGAGAAACACTTGTTTTGATTTCTCAGTAGGGGTGAAAGGGGACTTTGGTATATCAGAGCTTGAACTTGTTCTCCGTCCCACTGGTTTTAAATCAAACTGGAAAGAATCTTTAAATATGTAGGATTTGGGGGAATCAATACTTCCTCGTCTGGAGAGAGAGGTTCTCCGAGGTTTTACACTATCCAGTTGCTTGTCATCTACCAAGGCTTCATTGTCTGAGATAAGCTTTGATATCCGTTCCTCAAGTGTTTTTGTTGCCAAGGGTGGGCGCATCTGCCCTGGTAAAAGCAATGTCTTTTCCCCCGTCGGTAAAGCAGAGGGTGCTGATGTATTGATACGAGATACAGACTGTCCATTATTCTTTGCTGAGTCTTGTTCTGTGGTGGGTAACATTCTGGCGAAAGGAGTTGGTGGACTCACTGTTTGATCAGCACTTTCAGAACGTGAAAAGTAACCAGAATCTGTACTTCCTAAACTTCGAGGACTCAGAAGGAGTTTTCCTTGTTGCTCTTGGGAGTAATCAGTAGCCTGTTGCCTTTGCAGTTGGGCGTGTACTGTTCCTACATGGGAGTCTTGCTTTTCTTCCAGCAGACTCATGTCCCCTTTCTTGGAGGACTTCTCATCTGTCTCTATGGGGGACAGATTGGCTGAAAGTGACAGTACATTTGTCACCTGAAGGTCTTTCTGTTTTTGTGAACTAGAAAGCTCTGGCTTGGGATCTATAGCTTTTGGACTGTCAGTTCTTAAGGGGGACACACTGACAGGGTGGACCACAACTTTTGGTAACTCTGTCATAGCTTGTGATTCTGATGATTTGTCCTGTAGTGAAAAGTCACCTGCCATATGGTCTGGATAGCCTGGAGTGGTACTTGATTTTGGAACTTCAGCATTTGATATCCTCTTCATTATGTGCACAGGCTGCAGCTCCATGGCGCCTGGGTCATGCTGTCTCTCATCAGCGGCACCCTCCTCCTCACTCTCCCCACTATCTTCTACATCTGAATGAACACTAAGTGCTTTGGGGGACTCATGGGACAAGAACAAGCCTCCAGCATCAGGCTGCAAGACCAGACCCAGTTTGATAGTATGTGCGTGGGATTTTTTGTGCTTATACAGATTACTTTTAGTCTTAAATGAAAATCCGCAAGTCACACAGGGGTAGGGTCGCTCTCCAGTGTGGGAGCGGATATGCTTTAAAAGCACACTAGGCTTTGCACATGCTCTATTGCAATACTCACAAATATATTTTCCTTGTTTTTTTGGCTTCTGATCTTTCAGAAGAAGATTGCACATTTGCTCTACGCTTTGATTAACAACAGAGGCAACATGAGTTGAATTATAGATTGGTGTGGGGGGCGACTGTGTAGAATTGGCTGAACTTATTGACAAAGGCAAGACAGAATCCATTTGCTGGTTTTGAATAGTAACCTGAGTTCTATTGGAAAGTGAAGTCAAACCTACAGATGATGTCACTGCTATATTATAAACCTGTTCAAGTTTGATGCTCTCTTGATTTTGGAGATTTGTTAGTGATCCCGTGAAAGCCGAACACCCTGGAAACTGATTTTGTTGGCTGGATTTGGAAACCAAGTGTTCATGTTGATTATACGAATGAGGAACGGACTGCACTGCCCCTTGCTCACTTTTCTGAGTAGTAGACACATGCACTGTGTATGAGGTACAAGGAGAAGACTGTGATTCCACAACGAATTCCTGTGAAGTCTCATTTGGGGCATCCATCAAACTGTTTTTTAATTTGGAAGGGGATCGTACAGTTTTATTTGGTCTCAGTTTTTCTGTCTTAATTGCACAAGATGAGCCCCTTTGTGACAAAGTGCTCAGTTCTGGCTCCATTGCTTTCAGTAAGACATCAAATGCGGTATTTGTGTAGGAGGGGGATGAAGTACTACAATGAGAAGAGATACATTCACTGTTGTCAGTCCTGGTTTTACTTGACAATGAGCTTGAGTCACATTTTCCATCAAGGACACTGAATTTGGCGGGGTCAGCGCCTTCTGATCTCCATCTACGCAGTTCAGATGGATGCTGCGGAAACAAGGGCTTCTTTGGGGAGACAGATTCTTCGGATTTTGAGGCTTCAGCAATTATTCCAGGTGTCTCTCCATTGTGTTTGGTAAACTGCTTCCCATTTTTTACAGGAATATAATTCTGTTTCTTGTGAGATTCTGAAGCACTCTGAAGAACAGCAAAAGATGCCTCTTCTGTATTTTGTTTATGTTTTGCCTGAAGAGGATTTCTCAATGGGGATTTTGGTATTTTTTTCAGATGATTCTCAGCTACAATCTTTTTTCGTTTCACACCTTTAAGAGATTCTGAAGTTCCTTTAATGCCAGCCTCTAATATTTCTATAAAAAAAGAAAGAAATCAATTGGTAAGACTGTACATACACCAACTATATTTTTTTTAAAAATGAAGATTACTCTCATAAGAGTGTTATGACAATTGAAGAAAGTGGTTTAAGAAAAACCTATTTTTAATAAAAGTGCATTCTAACTATCTAGAAATTTGAAAAATGTTGACATCAAAATCTATTGAAGCACTCATGCAAAGACCTTAGTGTGCATTCCTAGAATGCTATAATTGTTTTCTTGTGAAACCAAGGTCCTGGAACCAGATCTTTCAAAACTGAACCTGAATTATTCTCCCCTTTTTACTTTCACACTAAAACCATGCCTCACAGAGTTAAAGAAATTGGTGACTAACAAGAATTTGTAAGTTTGTCTTACAGGACAGCAGATAAGGAAACAGCTTATTACAATCCCCTCTACTTTCAGCAAAACTAGCTGACTGGCTAAAGCTGGCTGGACCCAATATGCCTGACTGGAATCTGTGCAGAATAGACTTACTTGCCCAATGAGTGACCTTTTGTTGTCATAACTTAAATTTCTACTGCCTCATACTAACTCCCTTCGAATTTGCACATGCAACCCATGAAGAAGCATGAAGAGACAACTGTGCGTGCTCAAAGGATTTTTATTCCTTTCTGCCTATTACTAACCATCCTGAAACCCTTCCTCTGGAATTTCTCCCTTAAATATACTGTTTTAAAGTTAGTACAGGGAGACCGATTTGAGCCTATCTCCTGTCTCCTTTTTATACATGCCTTGCAATAAACCTTTCTCTGTACAAAAAAAAAAAAAAAAAAAATCCAGTGATTCAGTGTTTGACTTTGTTTCAAATGGGCAAACAAATGCTGTTTGGTTGAGTAACAGAAGACACTCTGTCTACACAATAGTCTGAGAAGACTGGCCAACAAAGACAACTCAACTCTTTAATGCTGAGTATTTTACTTTTTTATCCTTAAGGATCTTTTAAAATAAACTTTTCAGCAAGTTTCTAAATATGCAAAACTGATATTCTCATAAGAAAAAGGGTTACTAATAAAATCATTTTTAGAGCAGACACATCTCAGAATATCATATTACTTAGTACAGTCATGAAGTATTGCTAATATAGCAATTATATCAATAAACAGAACATTATGAAAGTAAAATAATCCACTTATTTGTGGTTTCTCACCAATAAAATTTAAAAGTCATAATGTTTTAATGGCCTTTGATTTAAAAAAATCACTACTTTAACTAAATAAAATATTCAATGGTTGTTTCCTTGTCATTAACGACAGGTAGGGTAAGTAGTTAGGCAGATAGACAGAGATAGAAAGACAAGTGAAAGTTATTGCAGGAGAGAAGAAATGAAATTGCTTTCATTTCTAGCTGTGCTAGAAACAAATCACTAGTGAAGTAACATCAACCACCCACAATCTCTGTCAAGTATTATATTTTTCAGTAATAATTAGTTGCCAGAATTTAGTTTCATTTTCATTTGTAGAATCTTGGGAAATACACACAAAAATTATTCAACCTTATATTGCTTTATTTGTAGAAGGGCCACATTTTCCATTATTTGCAAACAGCTGTTGCAATGTACATATTCAAATTCATTTTAGACCAAAATGTCTACACTGTAATAACTACTTATTGAGGATAAAATTACATAAAATTTTAGTCATTTTGTGATATGTTTATATGCTTTCTGTAATTGTTCAACGAAAAAATACATACGATTCCACTAAAGATACATTCAACTACCATAATCAGAAAAAAATGAGAGGATCTCATAAGTAAAATATTTAAGCTACACAATAATAGTATTGTTAACTTTTACAAAATGATGTTCAGCCAATCTTTTTTTAATCCTCAGTCCACTTACTTATGCAATAATGTTTTCCCACTGTTTTTCTCTCCCTCAAGATGAATGCAATAAAGTCAAGGATATACTTTTTTGCCTTTCACTCACTCTACCAGGCCAGGAGGCAAAAGGAGAGATAATGATCATCTCTGGGGTGAATCATTTCCTCGCCAGTTGTCACAAAAGTGAAAGTCGAAAAAAGTGAAAGCCAGAAGACTATTAAAATGAATACGAAAACAGATAAGAAAACACTTGGAGGAGAAGCTAGCAGAGGTGAAACACCAGGTACAAAAAATAAAACAAACCAGAGATATAAATATATCTTTGTACTGAAAAGAAAATTAAACTGAAGTAAAAACACTGAGGAATTGCTAAACTAAAGATCTACGTTTCATTATAAGTGATACTATTTCCTAAAAATCTACTGGGAGTTGAGAGTTGGAAAAACATATATTTTCAACAGATTTTTTGAAGTACATGTTTCCTTTTTAAATACACATGGACTCTACCCTCCTGTGAAAGGTCACAGCTCTTACATTCTATCTGCAAGTCATTATTTACTCTTAAGTTCTCTATTTGAAACTTAACACTTGACTGGTGTTAATATATCAATTCTTCCCTTCAAAACATGCATATTCTTCACTTTCTGGCAACTTGACTTATTTTAGACAACTTTTTTCTATGATATCTTCAAGTATATTTTATGGTCACCTTTTTCCTTTGGGATAAGGTTCTTTTCTCTAGGGACATCAATTAGTTTTGGGTGGATGTTTTGTTCTCATTTTATTCCCTTAGCTCCATATTTTCCATTTCAACTCATATTATTGACTCATATTAAGTTTGAGCTCTTGTTTTAATACATTTATAATCTAATTAAGTCCTGCACTTAAACACTTCTGTAAGGAGGGAATATCCTCTTTAAGGCTGAGTTTTTGGCTTGTTCTCAAGACTCTTCAACTGTTCAAGATCATGGACAATGGTGAGGGGTTGGTACTCAAATGAGAACACGTCCGTCACAGTCTTTTTCTGAGTTGTGTTCATTCCTCTAGGGTTTATAGGACCTCTTTTCTTCAATAGGATATGCTCTCCTTGTTCAAGAGATATAGTCTACTCCATCATGAACGCTTGGGAGGGGAGGAAACAGTGAGCTGACTCTGGGCTTTTAATCAGTCTCTCAATCCAAGCACTTTTTTTGTGGTTTTTAGGAGGAGAGAGAATGCTGGAGGGGATAAGAGAAAGATGTAAATAGAGGCGGGGTAGTGGCACATGCCTATAATCCCAGCACTTTGGGAGGCCAAGGTGAGACAATTACTTGAGTCCAGGAGTTCAAGACCAGCCTGGGCAGCATAGAGAGACCTTGTCGCTACAAATAAATAAATAAATAAAAATTAGCCAGGTGTGGTGGCACACATCTGTAGTCCCAGTTACTCAGGAAGCTGAGCAGAAGGATCACCTAAGCCTAGGAGTTCAAGGCTGTGGAGAGCCATGACTGTCCCACTGTACTATAGCCTAGACAACAGAGTGAGACCCTAACTCCAAAAAAAAAAAAAAAAAAGATGTAAAAAGAAGGAAGGTATCAGGCATATGTGAGATGAATATCACACTATCATTTTAGAGGTGGAAGTGAAGCAAGCTGCATGCCTCCCTAAAGATTTTCACTCTCTATTCCTTGATTCTCAAGATTTTGGGCCGAAGTGCTTAGTAGGTGGCTAAGCTATTTGTTAGGAATTAGACAAACACCTCTTGGGAACCAATGCCCTAGGATTATCAGGTGGCAAACCCTTGAGTTTTCTGAGAATGATATACCTCAGGTATTTTTTAAAATCGACTTTAATCTTGGTTATTTTTAAATCTATTAGAGAGTAACTAGAGTTATTTTCTCTGGCCTCCTTATCTGCAGAAAAGAGTGCAATCATCAAACTTTGTGGCTATATTTATAACATCTGGCATGTAATTACTAAAGGCCACAGAGTAAAGAGGATGTACAGATCACAATGCCTCAAAGCAGATATATAAATGACATAAAGGGAGAAAGGAAAACAGGTGTTTACCATCAGAATTTGCACTTTTCTATAATTTTAAAGGCAACTTGTTGTTATGGTGAACTTTAATGAAAATACATTAGAGGAGCAGAGAGAAAGAATGACAATGACACAAGTAGCAGAAGGCAGCCTACGGATGTCTTCTCACTCCCTACCAACCAGTGCTCAGGCCTATTTTCTGCTTCAGGATAAGGATTCTGCTTTATATTTACCACCCTATGATTTCAGAAGTGATATATCTTTTGTTTGTTTGCCATTCTAAGGTTGGAAATGTTTGGTGCACACTGGGGTTGAAACAGAACCTTTTCCCTTACACAAAGAGAATGTACAGTCAGGTTGGGAAGGGAGGAGAAAGACTGAAAAAAGGAGTCAGTCCACTGCTGAAATTTTCATTCTCTGACTCGCCAGAGTTTCATAGGTAATGGCTGAAAATTAGCAGGAACACTGAGAAATCAACAAGTTAAAAATCCAAATATGAGTCCACTTAACTGATATGAATTCACTCCAGAGAGGAACCAAAACTGGCAGTGTTGCCACTGTCAGAAATATTGACTTGGACTTCATTTAAAAAAAAAAAAAAAAGGCAGAGTCCTCCCTCAGGCAGTAAAGAACAGCTTAGAAAAACCACAAAGGCCACTTAATTGAAAAATGCTGAATGGTTAGAGAAATATGAGCTAAGGTTCCTGGGTTCTACGTGCCCAAGGCACTGGTACTTTATTTTCCAAGCACAAACCTAATAATTAAGGCTTCTAAGTTTCTTTAGTGAAAAGTACCAATGAGCTTAAAATAACACTATCAGTTGGTTTTCAGGATTACTTCTAAAGAATAACAAATTAAAAACAAGCAATTTTCCTGGCTGAGGAGAGCATCTGAATTGCTAGCTGGTGTGGCAATTAATATTCTTAGGATAGATAGTAAGACGGTAAACTACAACCTCGTGTGTTTAAAATTGTCTTGATTGAAGGTGAATTTCTGATTAAATCTCTATTTTCAGATTTGTCAAAGATATATCAGAGAGGAAAACTTTAGATCTCTTCTGGACCTTAGAGGGCATAAGAACTATCTGTCACCTAACAACTGAGAGCATGCTGACTCAGAAAGTTAGGAGTCAG